TTGGACTGCCAAATTGATCGTATTGTCTGTTGGACTGATAACTCGTCCACTCTTCACTGGATACGTGGTTCACCTTCACAATGGAAACCATTTGTTGCAAATCGCGTTATGGAAATTCAATCGCTGTTAGATCCATCGGTCTGGAGATACTGCCCTGGACCACAGAACCCGGCTGATGTACCCACTAGAGGAATGTCTTCGAATGAATTGAAAGAAAGTCGGTTATGGTGGGAAGGACCTGCCTGGTTGAGAAGTTCGGAAGAAGAATGGCCAAAGGATCTACGATCGGCATCTTTAAATGAACATGTTGAGCTTGAGAGAAAGCATCAAGCCAGTATCAATAGTTGTGTCAGTCTACCGGTTTGCTTCGTGTTGGTGGCCGAATCCATAAAGCTGAGTTGCCCGAGAAGGAAAAACATCCCATTATTTTACCTAGTGATCATCCTGCTGTTGAATTATTTGTTCAAGCTATTCACCGTCGTGAAATGCATGCTGGCGTTAAGCATACATTGTCAGTGGTCCGTCAAAGATTTTGGTTGATAAAAGGAAGAGCTACAATCCGCAAAATCGTAAAGAGATGTATAGTGTGTCGTCAGTTTTACACCAAGCCTGTCTCTCGACAAATGGCATCTCTTCCAGCTGACCGAATTGTACCTGCACCTCCATTCACAAACGTTGGTTTGGACTTTGCTGGACCTTTGTATCGTAAGAACCGTGGTGAAAAGGCATATATTTGCCTTTTTACTTGTGCTGTCACTCGTGCAGTACGCTTAGAATTGGTAAGCAACATGACAACTGAACGGTTTTTGCTGGCGTTACGACGTATGGTTGCGAGAAGAGGCATGTGTAGTATTATTTGGTCAGATAATGCAAAAACGTTCAAATGTGCTAAAAAAAGAGTTACAGAGTTGTTGGCGAATCCTGGAATCCGAAGAAACCCGTACACCTTTGTCTGAGAAGAAGATTCAATGGAAATTTATAGTACCCAGAGCCCCTTGGTGGGGTGGATTTTATGAACGTCTCGTGAAAAGTGTTAAGTTGGCGCTGAAGAAAATCTCTTTGGAAATGCAATGTTATACGCCGAGCAAATGACCACCATTCTGACGGAGATCGAGGCTCGAATTAACAGTCGTCCTCTTACTTACATTGGAGCTGAACCAGATGATTTAAAGGCCCTTACGTCAGCCCAGATTCTCATTGGGAGAAATTTACAGGCGTTTCCAACAAAGATACGAAAGTTACGGAGCACACTTCCAACGCCTTAAAGAAACGATTACAGTATCATCAACGTTTGGTAAATGGATTTTGGAAGCGATGGAATGCGGAATATCTTAAGTCGGTAACCTCTTTGAAGAAATGGATCGATATTGGTCGAAAAATGCATGTTGGCGATGTAGTACTCGTAAGTGAGGATAATGTTCCAAGAGGACAATGGCAGAAAGCCCGTGTTGAGGCAACGCATGAAGGAAGAGATGGTCTGATCCGATCTGTAACGTCACGTTTGCCCTCAGGCCGCTATACCCGTCGTCCTGTACAAAGACTACACGTGTTAGAAACTTGTGATGCTGACATAGCAGCAGGTCTAAAGTAAACATTGAACAATAATTAGCTAGTTTGTTGACATTTGTCAGTTAATGAAAGTTGATGCACTTCCTGCATCGGGGGGAGGATGTTCCAGAGTAGAAACTGATTATTACTGAGAAAGAGACTGGTTCGAGGAACTGCAGGGGCTTGGATTCCCCGAATATGTACAAAACGAAAGTAACTTTATATTTTTGTAAATTTTTGTTTATGTTAAATTTCACGTCTGTTTTCAGTACATTTTGCGAATTAAATAAGTTTAAAAACAGCCTTAATACGTTTCAAATAATTATGTATGGACTGCAATAAACTGCTATAGATAGCATTCTTGAGATGGATAGCTTGCAAAATATTGATTATTTATAATTTATATAAGACTCCTTATCCTTTATTTACAATTTATTTAAGATATTCCTTATCCTCATGGTTTATATTTTTAAGAACAGATGGTCAAAATCTGCATTACAAGTTTAGCGATTTAAATAAAATCTACATACACTGCGAAATGAGCGATAATTTTTACGAAGGACGTATTTGTGTACCTCGTGATCACAATTCGTTGCAAGCAGCTAGTGAAAAACTGCAAGTTTTAGTTTGACAGTTCTGACAGTACAGTTAAATGAGTTTCTAATTTTATTGTCCAAGCAGATGCGTAGTTTTGAACTTTAAATCAAAACTACGCACATAATTGGACAATAAAATTAGAAACCATTTATCTGCCAGAACGTACTGTCAAACTTGAACTTGCAGTTTTTCACACGCCGCTTGCAACGAACTGTGATCACGAGGTACACAAATATGTCCAACGTAATTGGCAAAACTGTCACTGACAAACTGCCTAAAGAAACGGTCGTTTCGCAGTTTACTGGGAACAATAGTACATGCAAATGTACAAAAGCACACAAAGAAAAGATAATAAGCGCTAGATGTTAAAACGCCACTTGTGATGAACAACTGCTGAAAAATCGACAACGGCTCATTACTAATCCCTACCTAATCCCCATACCATGGGGATAAATAAATTATAAAAGCTTCAAATCCCCCACCTTCTTGGGAGTGTTTCCTGATCTAAACTCCTACCAATCCCCTATTAACCCCCACTTTGTCCCGGGGGGGGGGGGGGGTCGAGGTTTACATTGACTCATGCATTAGAGCAGGACTAGTCAAATTTCGCTAGCTACGCCACTGTGTGTAATCTATGTCTAGTGTCTATCATAAGGTTTCCGCACATCTCTTCTCTGCGAGTTTAAGGTTACAGTCCATTAAGAGGACATTTTTTGCAAAATCGCGTATTTTTTGCGCAAAGCGCTCAAAACTTAGCGACCAGGCCTTCCCTAAAATCCTGCCCCGCCATCTTGGTTTTAAAAATTTTCCAAAATTTGCGAAGACAAATAACAGAATTTTACTGGATTTTTGGCTGTGTCACGAGGCAAAACATTGCCAAATATAAAGAAAGATAACATGGTAAGTGTAATATCGTATTTAGTGGCTGTTATTTAAATTATTATTATGTAAATATGCACATGTATTGGACTCAGGAGTGACCATTTCATTCAAAGAGGTCATCTATATTTACTGATTAAAAGTGTCTGCTTTCGTCTTTTAAATGATGGCCGGCCTGTTCACAACTCGTTTACAATATAGGTACATGCAA